GTTCCTGAAAACATGAGTAGGCTAGCTCTGCGTTCAGAAGCCATCCGTCCCACCAACGGGGACAAACGATGCTGTGCCAGCGGTGGCCCCCCGACGCCAGCGGGAGGTCTGGACCTCAAGGGTTCCTGACACATCGTCTACCCCACTCAGTGAGAGAAACGATGTTGTGCAATGCCAACGGTGACCCCCGACGCCAGCGGGAGGTCTGGACCAAAGGGTTCATGAAGCATGAGTTGGTTCGCTGTGCTCAGAAACCGTATATCCCACCAAGTGGGATAAGCGATGTTGTGCGCTGCTAACGGTGACCCCCGACGCCGGCAGGAGGTCTGGACCAAAGGGTTCCTGGAACATGAATCGCCCTGCGGTCGGAAACTATAGATCCCACTCAGTGGGAAAACGATGTTGTGCATTGCCAACGGTGACCCCCAACGCAGTCTTGCTCAAGCGGGAAAGGTGCTGAGTGCCAACCTCCTAACATACCATAACAAATCGCTGCGGAACGAAATGTGAATAATGGTACTCACCAACCCCCCAATGGCGCACCGAATCCGTGAGTCTGACACGGGGGTTGCAGCCCCAGGGGCCGCCTGGGCGGACAAATCGTGCACCCAGGCACAACATATCCCTGCCCCCCCCATCCTTTGGCCTGCTTAGGCGGCCCCGAGTCGGTCACGCAGCCGTTGCAGGCGTGGCACTCCATCTGGCCTGCTTAGGTGGCCCAAGCGGGGTCAACGTCGGCCACAGCCGTTCCAGGCGCGGCAACACGGGCCACCGTGCCTTGCAGGGTGGTGACACCAGGTAGCTGGGCCCAATCATGGGGTTCAGGCGCCCTAAAGCCGTATCACCTCAAGTCCTCCTCCTCCTCCTCCTCTTCTTGCTCCTCCTCCTCCTTATCCTCCCCCTCCTCCTCCTCTTGCTCCTCCTCCTCCTTCTCCTCCTCCTCTTGCTCCTCCTCCTCTAGGAAATGCTGACTCTTAGTAATTGTCGTCGTAGTCGAAGTAGCAGTAGTAGTACAAGTAGCAGTAGTCGTCGCAGTAATAGTAGTAGTTGTTGTAGTAGCAATAGTAGTAGTAGTAAGAGTAGTAGTAGTAGTAGTAGTAGTAGTAGTAGTAGTAGTAGTAGTAGTAGTAGTAGTAGTTGTAGTAGTAGTAGTAGTAGTAGTAGTAGTAGTAGTAGTAGTAGTAGTAGTAGTAGTAGTAGTAGTAGTAGTAGTAGTAGTAGTAGTAGTAGTAGTAGTGGTGGTAGTAGACGTGGTCGTAGACATAGGAGTAAGAGTCGTCGTAGTCGTAGTAGCCGTAGTAGTCGTAGTAGCAGCCGTAGTAGTAGCAGTAGTAGTCGTAGTAGTCGTAGTAATCGTAGTAGTCGTAGTAGTAGTAGTAGTAGTAGTAGTAGTAGTAGCAGTAGTCGTAGTAGTCGTAGTAGTCGTGGTAGCCGTAGCAGTAGTCGTAGTAGCAGCAATAACAGCATTAGTAGTCGTAGCATTCGTATCCGTAGTATTAATCGTAGTAGTAAGTCGTCGTAATGCTTCGTTTTCTGCTTATCCTCCTCATCCTGCTCCTTCTCAACCTCCTCCTGCGCCTCCTCCTCCCCATCATCATCCTCATCCACCTCCCGTTGATCCTCCTCTGTCTCTTTCTCTCTCCTCATCCGGCCATCTCCTCCTCCTCATCAGCATCATTCGGCCAGCTCCTCATCCTCCTCCTCATCATCCTCCTCCTCTTGCTCCTCCTCCTCTCATTCTTATGGTCAGTCGTATTAGTCGTAGGTGTGCCTCCTCCCGCTTGGTCTTAGTATAATTGCTTTTGACAGTCTTACTAGTAGTCATGTTTTCCTGTGGGTTCAAACAAATGTTGTAACACTATCAAGAGTGTTAGTGTTACGAATAGTGATGTGATTATTCGTATTCGTATCACTATAATTGGGATTACTAGTAGTATCCGTAGTATCGCTATCAGCATGGTTATTCGCATCATGGTTACCGTTCGTATGCGTAGTCGTCGCCTCCTCCTTCTGAATAGTCATATGACTCGTGTTTTTCTTCTTCACATGATGCGTCGCGTTCGTAGTCGTATCCTGTCCCTTATTCTTAGTAAGATTGGTACTCTTCGCCTTAATAATAGCATTAGTAATATGCACTGCGAATGGCCCAAAGTGTTAGTATTAATATTGGTAGCATTTTCGCATCACCATGATTAGTAGTACGAATACTGCGACTCGTAATACCATGACTAATGTTGATGTGAGCATTATCAAGATTACTAATCGTTTTCGCGCTCGTAGGATTCGTATGCTTCTTCGTCGAGTCCGTAGCATGTGTCGGCTTATTATAATTAATCATCATCATCATCATCATCATCAGCATCAGCATCATCATCATCATCATCATCATCATCATCATCATCATCAGCAGCATCATCAGCATCATCATCATCATCATCATCATCAGCATCATCATCAGCAGCAGCAGCAGCATCATCATCATCATCATCATCATCATCATCATCATCATCAGCATCAGCATCAGCATCAGCATCAGCATCAGCATCATCATCATCATCATCATCATCATCATCATCATCATCATCATCATCATCATCATCATCTTTCTCAGCTGTCATATTTCTCATTAACTGACTAGTATGGTTCGTAGTATCAATACTACTCGTATCCTCCCCCTCCTCCTCCCCCTCATCGTGCTCCGCCTCCTCCTCATCCTCCTCCTCCGCCTCCTCCTCCGCCCTCCTCCTGCTCCCCCTCAGCCTCCTCCTTCTCTTCCTCCCCCTCTTATTCCCTCTTCCCCCTCCCCCTCCTCCTCTTGCTCCTCCTCTGTCTCATGAACCTCATCTTTCTCTTTCTCCTCCTCTTCCTCTTTCTCTTTCTCCTCCTCCTCTTCCTCCTCCTCCCCCGCCAGCCATCTCTTCTTCATCCTCCTCCTCCGCCTCCTCTTGCTCCTCCTCTGTCTCTCTCCTCCTCTTTCTCTTTCTCCTCCTCTGTCTCGTTCGCTTTCTCCTGCTCCTCCTCCTCCGCCTCCTCCAGCCATCTCCTCCTCCTCCAGCCATCTCCTCCTCCTCCTTCTCCTCCTCCACTTCCTCCTCCTACTCCTCCTCCTTCACCTCCTACTCCTCCTCATCCTCCTCCTCGTGCTCGTCATCATCATCATCATCATCATCATCATCATCATCATCATCATCATCATCATCATCATCATCATCATCATCAGCATCATCAGCAGCAGCAGCAGCAGCAGCAGCATCAGTAGCAGCAGCATCAGCAGCATCAGCAGCAGCAGCATCATCATCATCACCATCAGCATCCGCCTCCTCCTCCGCCCCTCCGCCTCCTCCTCCTCCTCCCTCCACCGCCCGCCCCATGTCCCGAGCCTGTGGCAGGGTCATCAGCTCGTCGTTGTCGTTGCCGCCGTGGTCGTCGTCGTGGTGGTCGTCGTCGTCGTCCTTCTGGGTCGGCGGCACTAGCCGTAAGACCGTCACAATAAGATAGCCAAAAACAAAGTTGTTCAACACGAGCAGCGTTCGCTTTTGGCCAGGCGACGCTCATCCCAGATGGACCACATCCATGGCGACACCCACAGCGAGTCTCCTACACAAAAACGGGCAGGAACTGGTGTCATCGTCCTTCGATCCAGTCATTTCCGTACCCATGTCTGGCGAGACAGCGACTTGCTGCGCGGGTCACGAGAAGGCGACCTCTGCCGTGGTTCCCGCTTTGGCGGCACGGTTTTAGCACGATCTCTCATGGCTTCGGAACGATTTTTTCGAATTGGCTGGCCACGAAGGCCCCGCTGTGGCCACCGCCCCAGCGGGGGGGAGCTCTGAAATCATCCAAGGGGGCCGTGGGAACCACGCCTCAGGCGGCCTCGGGCACCGTGCCGCTGCCTTCCCGCCCGAAGACAGCGGCGGCTCGCCCGCCCAGGCATTCCTCCGCTCGAGATCGGTCCCAAGACCGACCCATCCTTGGACGGTTTCCCCGGGGCCGCAGGCGACCCCAGGGGACGGTGAGGAGGGGGAGGAGGGGGATGAGGGAGGAGGAGGAGGAGGGGGAGGAGGAGGAGGAGGAGGAGGAGGAGGAGGAGGAGGAGGAGGAGGAGGAGGAGGAGGAGGAGGAGGAGGAGGGGGACGGACTTCTGCTTACTGCGACTGTTTGCAACAGTGTGTGCTGCGGGGCAGGGGCTGCACCTGCTCGAAGCAGGCGCCCAGTACAGCGAAGATCCACTCCATGGGGGGGGGGAAGGAGGGGGGGTGCGAGGGCCCGCGCCGATCGGCAAAGCAAGGAACAAGAAGCAGACCCATCCTGGACCCCTCCCGGGGCCCACCCTGACCCGTTTCTCGAAGCGGCTCCAGGCGTGGCAACGAGAAGCCTCCGGGAGGCCCCAGAAAGAGCAAGCGCGACGCCGTTGCCTCGACGGGCCCTCCTCCGAATCCCGATCCTCCGGATCATTGGGCGCCCGAATTATCCGGGGTAACTCGGGCCCGGGGCAACTCGGGCTCGGATTCCCGAAAAACGAACCCGAGCTAGCCCTGACCCGAGTTACCCCTGATGATTCGGGGCTCTGAGATCCGGATCGCCCTCCCCTCGGAACCCCACGCCCGGGGCTCGAGCCAGACCGAGTGCCTCGCGCTCCTTCCGTCTCCGTGCCCCTCCGCGCTCTCCGCCTCCGCTCGGCCCCTGCCGCGGCGCGGCATTCGCAACTCGGGTCGGGCGAAAGGGGGGGGATAGCAAAGGGGGGGGGTGAGAACCAGCTCACGTAGCTGATTTTCCCGGCACCTCCCGGCGCCGGGAGGCGCCCATGTATCGAGGAATGGGCCCGGCGGCGGGTCCGAAACCAGCTGCATGCAGCAGATTTCGCAACCCCCCCTTTCCCAATCCCCTCCTTTCGCACGACCCGACCGTCTCCGCTCGGCCCCTGCCGCGGCACGCCACTCGCCACGACAACGGCCCACGAGGCCGCCCAGACGCACCGCTCTGGCGCTCGAGCCCCCCGCCCCCCTCCCAGCGGCCCCTCGCGCGCCGCCGGCCCTCTCACCAGCACCAGAGCGCCGCGGCCGCGAGCGCGCCCGCCGCGGCCCGCCCGAGGCCTGCTCGCCATCGCTCGGACGTCCACTCCCTGTGTTTTTTGTTTCGGTTTCGTGCGTGATTCTTTCGCCAAATGATCAAAAAATGCTCCTCGATGGCCCTCGCCGCAGGAAAAATGCACACGTCCGAGCGATGACAGGCCTGCTGCCCCGGGGGCCCCGCTGTCCACCACGGAGGCCTCCGCCGACGTGCCCGCCGGCTCCGTGGCACTGCCCCGCGCGCTGGTGGTCGCCGCGTCTGCGCCGGTCGGCGTGGGCGCGGTGGCGCCGCTCTCCGCCGCGGTGGTGCTGGCCGGGGCGGTGCTCACCTCGGGGCCGGTGCCGGAGGTGGCGGTGCCCGTGGCGCTGCTCGTGCCAGTGGCCGTCGTGGCCGAGAGCGTCGTGGTCGCGAAGGACGTCGACGACGCCGTCACCGTCTCGGTGGACGCGGTCGTGGCGGTCGCTGTCGTGGCAGTCGTCTCCGTGGCGGTCGTCGTGTGCGGGGTCGTCGTCACCGAGGTGGCGGTTCCTGGCGCCAGCGACAGGTCTCTGCAGACGCCCTGGCTGGACGAGGTCTCGTAGCAGAGGAGGCCAGCGGTGTCCGTGAGGCTCACGAGGGCGAGCTGCTGCCCTGCAGCAGCGTCGTCGATCGACAAGGCGGCACCCGGCGCAGACGTCTCGGCATCCAGCGCGTAGCACTGAACGCCGCTGTCGGCAGCGCTCTGTAGGCAGGCGACAACGGTCTCCTCGGAGAAAGCCGCCAGGGCCATCTGCGAGAGAGCCCCCTGAGAGACTTCGACCGGCTCACCCTTGCTGAGCGCAGAGCCATCGAAGCTCAGCTTGCGGCACAGCGCCGACTCGCCCTCGGTGTAGCACACGAAGCCTGCGTCTGCCGACAGAGCGGCGGCGGCCGCGTTCGCGCCGCTGGTGCTCAGAGTCAGGGTGACGCCGAAGTCCAGGCTGCTGTCGGACACGTCCGAGCCCGACAGCGCTAGCATGGTGCAGGCGACCTCGGCGCCGCTCGTGTAGCACACGGCGCCGACGCTCTCGGAGAAGCTGATGACCGACAGAGACTCGATGCTGCCAGTGTCCAGCGACTTGATGCCGGAGTTGCTGTTGGCGTCGAGGCATGAGGGGCACCACTCGTCGTCCGCGGCCTTGATGATCAGCAGCCCGCACTGCAGCGGGCCCCGGGTGCTGGGGTTGGCCGCCTGCACCTGCACAGGGCGGGGAGACCCAGGCTGCGACTGCCGCACCACTCCTCCGAAGTCCACCCCCTCTGACTACCTACCAGACCACCCCAACCCAACCCGAAGACCCGAATTTCGGGTTGGGGGGGGTACGGGTTCCATGTGTGGTTTCTCGATGTTCCCCGACCCTCCCCCACTGGAAATGGAGGTCAATTTGATGCCTTCGGGTTGGGTTGGGGTGGTTTGGTGGGTGGTGACCCTCACACACCCCGAAGAAGGATCGGGTTGGGGTGGACGGCGCAGCGAGTCTGTCAGACCTGGGGGTTGTCGGAGCACACCACCGCCGACGCGTCCGAGAAGCGGGTGGCCGAGATCACGCTCGAGCCCAGCACGTTGACGGAGTTGCCCTTGACGGACAGCTCCCCCGACGCCTCTACGGACAGAGTGGTGCCTGGGGGGACGCCACCTTGACGCCTGCGCTTATGATGTTCCAACCGACTTCAGCCTCGATCACCAGCAACAATTTCGAGCACCAAGAAGATGCAGGAACTGGAGGGTTTTCACGTGTCGGGCCCTGGGAGGCGATGCTCGTTCGACACTGCTTCGATACTTTCCTGGGTGCTCGAAAATATTTCTGGGATGTGGTCCGCAAGTGCGATGGGAGCAGCATGAGCCTGCACCCGTGCTGGCCAGGCCCCTCCTGGGCCCTGGATCGGATCGGTGCACCTATACCGTCGGGGCGTTGACCTAAGGAACCCTGAATAAGGAACGAGGCCCCTATTTTCCACAAGTTAAACTTCGATGTCCTATCGAAAACCTAAGGAAAGCCTGAGGCAAGCTGCGAAACACTTAAGGAACGCGGAGCCCCTCCCCAAGCAAAAGGGTCCCTTCTTCGGGGCCCCGGCTGTATGGACGCCAGGTGCACCGATCCTGGGCCCACGGGCCCCGGCTTGGCCTGGCCAGGGCCGGTGTGCACATATACCTAAGTCGGGCATGCCCCTCGGCAGGAGGAAGATTCAAAAATGGTATGAACAAAATGTGGGCGAATTGTTGATGATGTTTGGATATGGTTAGGTACGTGTCGTATCTGCAAACTTCGCCCAAAATCCGCCCGCAGGGGGGCACGCCCGACCTAAGCGTATACCCGGCGTCCCCGAGTGCCGTCGCGGTTGACCTTGCGGCACTTCAGCTCGAAGGAGTTCTCCCCGTCCGCGTAGCACCAAATGGTCGTCTCCTCCGTGAGGCGCGCCATCGCGCTGTGCAGCGTCCAGTCGGACTCCTGCACGAGAGTGTCCCCCACGACCTCTCCGCCCTGCACCAGGTTGCACCTCGGGCCGAGAGGCAGTCATGGTGGAGTGGTCCTCCTCCCTGGCAAAGAGAGGAGGGGGGGGGGAGGAAGGGCCTCCCAGAACTCCCCCGTGTCGCACCACCAGACGTGTCCGCTGACGTTTCGCTTGAGGGTCCCTTACACATTATGACCCTGAAGCTCAAGCAAATCGAACAGCGACACGGATGGAGAGCTGATCGCTTTCAAAAATGCGGACCTCCCCTTCGCACCGCACATGTGGTTTACAGGCGCTCGAACAGTTACTCGGATGGAGGGCTGGTGGCCTTGAAAATTCCCAACACGCCTGAAAGCCGTACTCACTCCTTTTAAAAGCATATGCCAGCTACGAGGATAAAGGTCAGCCGTCTTCAGAATGCTGCTCTCGCCTGAGGCGTCTTCAAACTCTACGACCCGAAAATCACAATCGTGCAACGATTTCACGGCTCGGGAATGGCCTCTCGTCGAACATGGATTCTCGCTTGATATGACCTGTACACTCAAACCGTGCAAGACTTGCACGGTTGCAGGGCAGATCCTCTCCAAGACGGCGCTTTCGCGTGACCTTCTCTTGAACTCGAGCGTCCTGCAGAATTGCCACTGCTCAGCCAGACGGATGGAGAATACACGCTCTGCATCACCGGGCCCCCCGAAGCCACAATCCCGCCCAAACACGTCAAAGAGTTTGGCGCTCCCGGGGCCACGACCCAGCGCGAAGTGCGCCAGACCCACGCCTATACTGCCAAGCCTGCGTCCCCGGAGCTGCAGCCCCTTCGCAACAGCAACGAGCTTGGCGCTCCCGAGGCCACGACCCAGCGCCAAGTACGGCGAACCTGCGGCCCCGGGGCCTCACAACCCCGTGTAAAGTGTCGTGCGCTGGCGCTCACGAGGCCACAGCCCGTCGCAGCCCGCACCAGCCTCGCGCTCCCCGAGCCGCAGCCCTCCGCACAGCACAGCAGGCTCGCGCTCCCGAGGCCACCGCCTCCAGTACACTTTCAAGAAGCCCGCGCCCCCCAAAACCAGTGTCCCCAACAAATTCCTCCAAGTCCCCCGTCCCGGGGCCACAAACCCACCCCGCGGACGCTGCCCAAGAGCGCCATCCCGCCCCCAGAGCAGCACAGCTGCAACTATGTGTTTGGATGCTGTGTGTTTGGGGGGGCGTTTTCCAGCCCCACCGTCGTCTCCTCAGAATTCGGTTCGAGGCTCGAGGCCCTGAATCCTCGTCAATAGCTGTAGGCGCGCGCCCCCGAAGCCTCGAGCCCTCTTAAAGTACACTGGAAGCGCGCTCGGGAGGCCACGATCCCTTATTGACTTCTACAGACGCGCGCAGACAGACAGCCAGCCAGCAAACAGCCCAAATCTGTTGCCACTGATCAGGCTTAGTGGAGGCCTCCTGGATGGGGTCGGAGCAGATGGGGTCGGAGGATCGTGCCGCATCTCCGATACATCGGCGATGCATCGGCAATGCATCAGCGATACTTCGGCGACGCACCGGCGACGCATTGTCGACGTGGGCGATGCATTGGCGCTGTCGACGTATCGAGCCGCATCGGAGCCACATCGAGCCGCATCGGCGATGCATCGGCGATGTGGCGTGATCCTTCGACCCCATCTACTCTGACCCCATCTGGGAGGCCTAGATTTAAAGAAGAAATCAATCAGCCGACTTGCCAGCCAGCCAACCCAACCAATATACCAAGCAAGCGTTGCCACGCAGGCACTCTAAGCGGGGGCCGACGGCACAGGGCGATACCATGTAGACTCTCATGTTCGGACTTCGAAACGCGCCCGAGAAACGGGTGTGTCGGTGTGGCTGTAATCTCTTCTTGGATATCAAGATGTTCAATTTCAGGGTCATGAACACACACATACACACACTGATGGCCATCCCTCCTCTCCCCCCCTCCTCGTCCCCCTCCTCCTCCTCCTCCTCCTCCTCCTCCTCCTCCTCCTTCTCGCACGGTATGCAAGAAATTGTGCTTGCCGTTCAGCTGTGCAATCGAGAGCGCAACCGCGAGGCATCATCGCCGCGCGCGACGCCGAGTATTCCGTCTGTGAGGCATGTGATTCGTATTTTGCACAGGCAGTCGTCTGTGTTGCTTCACAGTCTTCGTTCCCGTCCCACTTATGGGGCGTGCGGCTCTTCGAGCCGCCTGGCCGGACTTGCCCATTTCGGGGATCTACTGACCTGGGTCAATCCAGACCCCAGTCAGTCAGGCTCTGCTTACCAGCCTCGAACGTATCCCTATCCCTAAGATTGATACGCCAAAAGGCGATGACAATCTTAGGGATTCGCCTTCAAAAAATAAGGGAATCATCCCTAAGATTGGCATCGTGATGAGGAGGTGCCCAGCAGAGGAATAGGGATATGTTCCAGGCTGGTAAACTGACCCCCGCCCCTTTAGCCCTGACAACTTCCCCCGCGCCCCCCCCTCCTGGGAGCTTGCCCTCCCCGCCGCCGACCACCCCCCCTTCCGGTTGCACGTTTCCAGCCATAGCCCCCGGGGCGGCCTGGGCGACTTCACTTCCGGCTCCGACGGCCCAAGTTGACACGAAGCCAGGACGAGGATAAAAACAGGTGAGGAGAGATCGAGAACTTCTGAGATACGGCGGCTCTGGAGGACGCCTCGGGCGCCGCGGCCTTCTCGGAGGCTTCCCGAACACTCCGAGAGCGTTCTGGAACGCCCTGGAGCGGATTTTATCCTCCCTCGTCCCAGCCCCATCCGACCAAGAATCGGGGAGCGGCCAAGAGGGGGGCGTCCAAGAGGGGGGGGTGCACGTCATGACCGGCGGCATGTGCGCGGCCCAGCGGTGGGGCCAGGGACCTAATGAAACAAGAAGAGGCGCCACGAGATCTGGGGAAATGTCATGGCCCCCGCCATGATATCCACCCCCCCTGGTCATCACCCCCCTCCCTTCCGCCCCCGAGAGGAGGCCCGAGGGCAGTCCATGCAGGGCCCTGGGACGGCCCAGGAGGGGCCCAAGACGGCCGAAGATGGCCTGAAGACTGCACGCGGGGGCCCCCAGGACGCCCCAACATGGCTCCAAGAAAACGCCGAAGACGCCACCAAGAGGCACACATTCAGAAAACTTGCCAGTTTTGCACAATCGCCTTCTTGATGTCAACAGCGTGCAAGACGGCCCAAGAGGCATCTAAGATCGCCTCAAGACGGCCCAACAGGCCTCCAAGAGAGACCCAAGACGGCCCAAGATGGACTTCACACGGCCCAAGATGCGCCCGAAACAGCCCAAGAGGACTCCGAGAGGGCCCAAAGAGGGGGATCTCGTGCTTGCGCCGCGCATAATCGTTTTCAATTCGGGAGCCACATGCGAAACCTACCTAGGGAAACGAGCTCAATACACCGACGCTTTTTCCGACCCTGCGCTGAAATTCGCACAGGAACGCGGATCCTGGTGTGTACGGGATCCTGGTGTATACATTGTTTGTTGTTTCCCTTGTGAAACGGGGGAGGAGTATACACTACACCATCCCGACGTCGCCCCCAACCCTCAAAAAAGTCCTGGGATTGAAAATCCGCCCGCCACTGGTAATGTATATGCTCCAGTTTCCGATATAGGGGGCCACATATGAACACTACCCCTGACCCCCACGACGTCTGAGGGGGAGGGTGGGGTAGGGTTCGCGTGTAGTCTTGTGGATGCCATGACACTGGACACTCTAATATTCCTATCATTGACTTAAAGGTGTTAAAAAATGTGTAAACCATGGTCTAAAAACGTTTCGAGCATGTTTTTTAGCAGGTTTAAAACATGCTCGAAACCTATGTTAGGCATCTGGAGATTAGTTGGCAGCATGCTTCCTCTCCAGTAATCGACCTCCACAAGGGTAGGGTTCGCGTGGAGCCCCCATGTATCAAAACTTGCTACCGCTTCGAGGACGCGGGGCGGCCCGTTTCTACGCGCCTCTCACCACCGCGCGCTCGTCGGGAACAGATCGGTTACGCTTCACGGATCTGCCCCAGGAGGAGGAGGAGGAGGAGGAGGAGGAGGGAACAGATCGTACGCTTCACGGATCTGTCCCAGGAAACCGCACGATCTAGATGTGTCAGGACGCAGCAGTCACGTTGATCATCCGCGGCGTTCAAGTGCCAGGGGGGATGTTCTGGCACGCTGAGCGACAAGACGGAAAGGTCGAAACAGCCACGTTGATCCGCGGCGTTCAAATCCCAGGAACAGTGTATGGCACGACTGGGGATTCTCAGACGGTTGATTTCCAATGGGTCACTTCCCGAAATGAACATCCATTCCTGTAGAGACCTATGAACAGGAAGCTTGGAGGGAGCGTTCATTGCAAGATCGTTGATGCGTGTTGGGTTCCACTCGGGCCTACCCAACCCATTCTGCTCACATGGCGACTAGACTGAGAACCACGTGTTGTCAAAAGGATGCATGCACATGTTTCTGGCGCCCTTGGACACAACGCCGAACCATGCCTGGCACGCTCCACTCCAACGACGCACTGGCTCTACCGATCCAGCCCAGGTGTCCGACACCACCCCGCTGGACCACCAACGAGCACACGAAGTGGTGACAGTTTCGCAGCTCGCAGCCCCGCAAAGAGGGCGAGGTCTAGTTCTGATGAGCGTACAGTCATCGGCCTGACCTAAGGAACGATCAATAAGGAACGAGGCTCCTCTTTTTCCAGGTGAGTCTACGAAGTCCGAAGGAACGGCCGACCCGCGCGTCGGGAATCTGCAAGAACATCAGGGGGGCCTCGCCGCCGAAAAGGTAGCGGAACGCATGCCAACCTAAGGAACGACCGAGCACCTGTTGAAAAGTAAGTGTTCCTTATTCATGCCGCTCACTGTAGGACCACTCTGCTGGACCTCAAATCAAAAGAGCCCACGAAAGAGGCGATAGTTGCGCAGCTCGCAGCCCCGCATGGAAGGCGCGGTCCAGTCCGGGTACGCGTACGCAGGGCACCACTCCGCTGGACCTCCCAAGAGCCCGCGAACGCGGCGACAATTTCTGCATTCCGCAGCC